CACCGTACCTTTAGATCATCGAGAACAGCCTCTAAGCATCAGTTCAGAAAATGAAAATTATATGAAAGTTTTAGGTTTGCAGTATAACCCGGATGACGATACATTCTCGTACATAATTCATCTCAACCCCCTAGTGTACACAAAACGCTCAATGCTAAGTGAGATGTCCAAAATCTACGACATTTTAGGTTGGATTACTCCTTGCACATTCTATGTGAAAAATCTTATGCAAAGCATTTGGTTGCTAGGATTAGGATGGGATGACGAACTTCCTACTGAGATCTGTAATAAATGGGAAACATTCATCTCTACTCTTCCAGAACTGGCTCACCTAAAGATTCCGAGACACATACCCATTGTTAATGCCCACTAACATTCAGATCATAGGATTCTGCGATGCATCAGCGAAGGGATATGCCGCCAATTTGTATTTACGTACAGAACATACAGATGGAGTTAATATACATCTCCTAAAAGCAAAGAGCAAAGTCGCCCCTTTAAAGATCATTAGCATTCCACGCCTCGAACTCTGTGCAGCACAACTTCTCGCTCACTTGTTAATATCAGTCAAGTCGTTGGTGGAAACCATTCATCCTCAAGATACGCTGCTGTTTACCGACTCCTCTGTAGTACTTTCTTGGTTAAAAATACCACCTTATAAGCTCAAAACCTTTGTTGCAAACAGAGTAGTAGAAATACTTGACGAAACGAATCCAAGTCAATGGTATCATGTTATCTCCAAAGAAAACCCCTGTGACATTGCAAGCAGAGGCTCTCTGCCTAAAGATTTAGTAAACTACGATCTATGGTGGAAAGGCCCTCAGTTTCTATATGGACCTATATCCAATCTCAAAGCAAATACTAATCCAGATATCAGCAATGATTTGCCCGAAATAAAACTCGAGAGCCTTATGATAACTCAACAATCTCCTAACATAGTATTGGACATATTAGAGAAATCGTCTAGTTTGTCTAAAGCTAAATTGGTTTTAAGTATTTTACTCCGCTTCATTCAAAACTTGAAGAACAGGATAACACAGCAACCACCATTAAAAGGTCCTATAACACCAGAAGAACAAAATAATGCTCTCATACGATTTGTAAGATCTACCCAAGAATGTCACTTGTCAAAGGAAATAATAAATCTCCAAACTGGAAAACACGTGTCTCCCAAGTATCGAACTCTAGCCTTGTTTCTAGACGATGACGGGCTTGTTAGGGTGGGGGGACGCTTAAAAGATTCGCTTCTCCCTTATTCTGCAAAACATCCAGTTATTATTCCCCAGTCTTCACGTCTCACAACTCTTATATGTGATCACTATCACATCCTCTCTTTACATGGAGGTCCACGGCTCACTCAGTCTTTGATTCAAAGGCAATTTTGGATAATAGGTATTCGTCAACTCCTGAGAGAGAGAATATTTAGATGCAACAAGTGCTACTTATTTCAGGCGAAACCATTCACGCCAAAAATGGCAAACCTTCCTCCAATAAGGTTCGAAAATGTGCGTGCATTCTTGAATGTTGGTGTTGATTATGCCGGACCCTTTGATTTTAAAGAAGGTTCAAGAAGAAAGGCTCCCATATCAAAAGGATACATTGTCATAATCGTTTGCTTAGCCACAAAAGCAGTTCATTTAGAGTTCGCTACTAGCCTATCAACTGCCTCATTTGTCGCTGCATTTGACCGATTTGTAGCGCGCAGAGGACTGTGCAAAACAATATACAGCGACTGTGGAACCAACTTCCAAGGTGCTTCGAACCACTACTTACGTGTTCAACAATTCCTCAAAGAAAATAATGAACATTTCACTCATCAGCTCAGCAAAAAGGAAATTAAGTGGATTTTCATCCCCCCTGCTGCACCCCACTTTGGAGGAATTTGGGAGGCTGCAGTTAAGTCAACCAAACGTCATCTCTCCAGAATCTTAGTAAATCTGAGTCTAACGTACGAAGAAATGTCTACACTTCTCTACCGCATCGAAGCCGTTCTCAACAGCCGTCCTCTTGGATCAATGACGACCGACCCCAACGATGGAGATTACCTCAGCCCAGGACACTTCTTAGTAGGTGCCCCACTCATCTCACCTCCAGAACATGACTACACCGATACGCCAATGAATAGGCTTACAAGATATGAGCTTCTTCAACAGGCCACACAAGCTTTCTGGAAGGCCTGGTCCAGAGATTACCTCCATACCCTGATCCAGCTGAACAAATGGACAACCACTCAACCCAATATCAACATTGGTGATATAGTTTATCTTCAGTTGAAGAACACTAGTCCATTAGAATGGCCCATCGGTAGAGTTGAAGTTACTTACCCAGGAAAAGATGGAGTAGTGAGAGCAGCTAAATTAAAAACTGCTCAAGGCACATTCACAAGGCCAGTACACAAGCTGATATCCCTCCTGCCTCCTGACCATAACCTTTAAATTGATTAAAAAAAAACAACGGTGTATTTCGTTTTGCGTGTGTTGAAATAGAAAATTTTTGTGTTTGTGTGTATCTTTTTTTCGTTTCAAAACTATTGTTTTGGGTGAGGGGAATGTTAGGGCCTAAACCTAAAAATATATTATTTCAGCTATTGAATTTCCTTTTCATCCGTCCCAAAAATTGTGGTGCTACTAACTTGAATTTGCCGCCAAGAAACAGCTGATACTCGACGCTGCCCCCTCCCTCAAGGACAGGACGACGCCACTTGCACTCCTGACTCCTGCAGTGACTGGCCACCCCCGCCAACACGCTAGTGCCTTCCGGCGCTATGATTTATTTGTCATTACCTATGTACTAAATATATGTTTTAATATAAAAGTTTACGTAACAGTCTAGCCAGTATTTTATTTCCTCGGCATCTTCGCCCTCACGCTGACCCAGAACGAGACGCCAGATCCACGCTCCACGCTGCTACCAAGGAACCCCGCTCGTCTTGAAGACATCTGTAGAAGGTAGCACCACACCACACCTATTTTACTAAATAAGTTTTAATTCCACCCCCAACACTAATTCTTTTAAAAGCAGCCTCGCCAACTTTTTACTAGGTAAAACTTATTACAGCATTAATGAATTTTTAATGGACAGCTCGATTCTGTAGTTATTTTAATCTTTAACTTTCCACTTAATCTCCTTAATTGTAATTTATTTCTATTCTAAGACATTGTGGATGGTTTATAATTATTAGATTGATCTTTAATTCTAGCTATTCATATTTATATTTACTTGTTAATGTTATTATTACATAATTTGACAATGGCACCTGTTTTTTAGCTAAGCTACAATCAAAAAATGCTATGTGACAATAAAGAAATATTTATTTATTTATATTTATTTATTTATTTATATAAATATTGTTATGATAGGGGAGCCCGTCGCATAGGGGGGGAAGTCGACGTCCCCAAAAACTCATTAAAATGGACCGTTTACGGTGATATTCGCCTTAAATTTAGGAGAGCATTGTATTTAGACATGTGATCACTGGTCTCAAATCTTTCCCACGAGAACAGTCGTTACAGTACCGCCCACTTCCTGCCGATCTAGTCCGGTTAAACCAATGTGCTGATAAAAATTGTCCGGTTAAAGAGATGTCATTTCCGTCGAGTGTAGTCCGGTTAAACCGATGTCTGGTTAAAAGGTGTCCGGATAAGAGGGAGTCTACTGTATATATACGTCCGTGAACGCGATAACTTGAGTAATATTTGTCCGATTTTGATGACATTTGGCTTGAAGATGTGTAAACTTGGATGAGTTTGCGAACCAGCATGATCGGATCAAGAGGAACAGGGTTTTGTGGGGGGTAAAAATTGGGTTTTCTCATTTCTGATCACAAAAACATAAAATAAATAAAATAGCAAAACAATATAATTCAGTATATTGAAGTGTTTTTAGCGAATTTCCCATATAGGGAATAAGCTATTACCGTAGTACTCATGGTAAGACCTGGACGCGGGACCGATTTTTTTTTTCATTTTGAGGTCCCTAGAGGCCAAAAACACCATCCGTTCAAATTCATATATATATATATATATATTTATATATATTTATATATATATTTATATATATATATGTGTCCGTTAGCGCGATAACTCGAGCAAAAATGATCCGATTTTGATTAAATTTGGTACAAACGTGCAAACCTACGTTTATTCGAACGAGTTCGCGATCCAGCATAATCGGACCATGGGAACAGGGGTTTATGGGGGGTTTTATGGGGTAAAAATGTGTTTTTCCCATTTTTTACCCTAAAAACAAAAAATTTTGCAATTTTTTTTTAAACCGTTTTGTAGAGCTTAAAAAAATAAATAATTTAGTATATTGAAGCGCTGTTGTATGCCTAACGGTCACGGAGAAAATTCAAAAATAGTTTAATTTAAAATTCCCATGTTATTCTTATGGAGAAAATTAAAATTGTTGTAGTTTACTTGTTTATGGATATATATTGATAAAATTTGGCAAATTTATTTATTTCATCCCATACTATTCACGTGTGGTCAAAAAAACACTTTTTACCTTCGCCGTAGCAGCAAACCTAAGCACTTGTTAAATCTAATGTTATTTAAATAGGGGAAAAATATGTCTTATTTATGGAAATATTTGAGTAAAAATGTAATCAGACAAGTTGAAATTCGCTTAGTCTGCAGGTTTGCTGCGGCGGGGGTATTTTACGGTTATTGGCTACGTATAAAATTATAAAAATTGTAAATTTAAAATTCCTATGTTATTCTTATGGAGTAAACTGTTGTAGTTTGCTTGTTTATGGATATATTTTGATCAAACTTGGCAAATTTATTTATTTTATAATAAGCTATTAATATTTTACAAAAAAACATTTTATTACCCTCCCTGTAGCAGCAAACCTAGGTACTTGTTAAAACTAATGTAATTTAAATAGATTTAATTGAAAATCCAATCAGGTAAATGGAAATTCGCTTAGTCTGCAGGTTTGCTGCGGCGGTTATATTTTTGTTGTTGATTGTAACTTTTGACCAAATTGTTTATTTCAGTGGTGGACTCAACACCTGATTCCCTAAAAACAAAGAAGTCTGAGCTAAGGTTGTACTGTGACTTGCTGATGCAACAGGTGCATATGATCAAGACTGCGGCTGCCAATGATCAAGAGCCAGATATACAGGTTTGTCAACAACTAGAATTATGGGTGCTTAGGTTTGCGTACCAGCGAGCATATAAACTCGGTAAATCCTATTTTTGTATTTATTAGAGATATCAAAAATCAAGTCAGATGACATAGAATTCTTGTCTGTTTGTGGAGTATGCCACTGCACCTTGACGGCAGTATTAATCGAGACTTTGTTTAAGTTTTAGCGAATTTCCCATATAGGGAATAAACTATTACCGTAGTACTCATGGTAAGACCTGGACCTGGGACTGATTAACTTTTTTGTTTTGAGGTCCCTAGAGGCCAAAAACACCATCCGTTCGAATTCATATATATAGTACCCGTGCTTTGCAACAGAGAGGATACTGAAGTAAAAAATTTGATCTTGAATTCCGTTCTATAAAATAGTTAGACATTCCCCTTTGGTTTCAGGAACATAACTCAACTGAAACTCTTAGTTTGAAAAATATCTTTCTTTAAGGCTAACTTATAAGGCTACCTAGTACAAATTATATGAGGCGCTGATGCATTTATGGAAATAATGTACCCATACGATTCAATTTTGAAATGATAAGCTTATTTAGACATTTATTTAATTGAAAAACGCACATATAAAGTAAATAAGGAAAATAATCGCAAAACATAAAGCTCACTGTAGTAAAGCAAGAAAACAGTTGATATTGATTTCACTATTCATTTTGATATAATTGATATGTTTTACCGTAGCCACTGAGCTTTTTTCAAAGTTTAACCTTTACCTGCAGATCAGTGTGTATACATCACAATAATAAGCAAAAATAAACTAATGGAAAACTTGTCTTACCTTGTGTTAGAAAGCCAACCACTAATATTGTTAATCAGTAATTTATAAATCAACAACATAATAAATAACAGTTATTATTTTAAATCGTTCCATAGTTCAAAATGTGTATGTATTTGCATTAATTTACATCATTATTTATAACATCGAGTAAAGAAACATAGTTACGTTACAGATATTTAATTGATTTTAGAAACAAAATTGAATTGTGTGTAGTTTAGTTGTGTGATATTCTCCATAGTCAGCGAGCTGGTCTAGTGGTTAGAGCTCGGGACTCCGGTTCCTGGGGTTCCGGGTTCAAATCCCGACAAATCACTGAAGTGAAAGGTAAAACTCACACCACAGTTAAACATAGATACTTTATTAGCCAAGATCCCAAAAGTAAGTCTTCAAGCTCAAAACAACAATACAATAAAAACAAACATCAAATATGCAACATATGGTAGCAATTATAAAAATACCAAACAGCACATCTTCTCTTTTCTCTTTTTTTTAGTTTATTTGTAAAAATCTGAATCACTGTATCTGAGAGGTGGTTTTACACTTCTTTTAGGTCTGTCATTTTCATTGCTATTGTAATTATGTCCAGCATCAGTTTCAGTTCCTTGGTCTTCTTGGTATTGGTGTTCAAATCTATTTCCACCATTTTCAATAGGCCTATGCACAGCTATTATATGTCTCCTGTTCCTTCTGATCTTCCCTGCCTGTGTATTTATCAGGTAGGACCGAGGATGATTTGATTTATTCTCAACATGTCCATAACGTTTTAAATCTGGAATCCAAACTTTGTCATTTTGATCAAGCTGTGAGAGATCTCTTACACCTTTCCTTACATCGTAGTTTCTCTTATTTCTTTCATTGATTGAAAAATCCTTCTCTTTAAACTTTTGCAATCTTTCCCTTGTTACCTGTCTGAAGTTATTTATTGACGGTAATGTTGATCGGAGCTTCCGTGAATAAAGTAACTCTGCAGGTGAAAGACCAGACTCTAAGGGTGTATTTCTATATTCTAACAATCCAAGATTTGGATCACTACATTTCGTTAGAATCCGCTTCGCTATGTCAACTGCTTTTTCTGCTTCTCCGTTTGATTGTGGATACCTTGGGCTTGATGTCACTATACGGAAACCATATTCTTCAGCAAAATTTTTAAAATCCTGAGAAGTAAATTGCGGACCTCCATCAGCTCTTACCACATATGGTACTCCATGTCGAGCAAATATATTTTTCAATCTAGCAACCACAGCTCCAGTAGTCAATGCATCCACATAAACCAGTTCAAGAAATCTAGAATAGTAATCTTGCACAACTAAATACCATTTTGCATTACATTTCAAAAGGTCAATACCTAAAGACTCCCAGGGATTTTTTGGTAGTTCAGTCAACAGTAATGGTTCTGATTTGTTACTTCTTTGCTCCAAGCAAACTGGACAATTTGTTACAAGTGTAGCAATATCTGTTGAGCAGCCAGGCCACCACACCGATTCATACACTCGCCTTCGACATTTGACAATTCCCATGTGACCTTCATGTATTTTACTCAGTATTTCCTTTCTCAACGATTTTGGAATAAACAGTCTTGTGCCTAAAAGGAGGAATCCTTTACTGATGTTTAGATCAGTCCTGTACTTCCAATACACCAAATTTTTATTCCAATTGTTATTCACAATCCAGGATTTAATTCTTCCGCATTCCTCATCAGTATCCTGAGCTTCTTTGATTTCCTGGAGCCTTTTGTCAGAACAAGGAATAGCATCTAAAATACTCTGAACAAACAAATCTTGTTCCAATATGTCTTCATGTTCTTCATTTGACTTAATGGGGTTCCTAGACAAAACATCTGGTACATAAAATTCCTTTCCTTTCACATATGTTACTTTATATCTAAAACAAGCCATTCTCATTCTTAACCGCTGAAGTCTTGCCGATAAACTAGCGATTTGTTTACTTCCAAGCACCTGAACTAAAGGTTTATGGTCAGTCATAAGTTCAAACTCGGTTCCTAAAACATACTGTGAAAATCTCTCACATGCCCAAGTCAGTGCCAGTGCCTCCTTTTCTATCTGAGCATAACGCATCTCTGTCGGTGATAAAGATCTCGATGCATAGGTGATTGGTTTCCACTTTCCATCCACAAATTGTTCAATCACCCCTCCTAGGCCAAATGACGAGGCATCAGCTGCAACTCTGGTTTTACGATTTTTGTTGTAAGACACCAGAACTGGATTTGAAGAAATTAGGGATTTAATTTTATCCCAAGCACTCTTTTGAACGTCAGACCAAACCCACTGATAACCTTTCTTAAGTAAAATTCGCAATGGAGCTGTAACTTCAGCCAAGTTAGGAATAAACTTCATCAAATAATTAACCATGCCAAGAAATTGCCGAAGCTCGTTAACATTATTTGGGGTTTGCATTTTCATAATGGCCTCCACTTTCTCAGGATCAGGCTTTATCAATCCATTTTCAATCAAATGTCCTAGAAATTTAACTCTGTTCACATTAATGTTACATTTATCTTTATTAAGTGTAACATTGTGTTCTCTCAATCTTTGTAATACATTTGCTAGTCGATGGTCATGTTCTTCCTGTGTTCTACCGACCACAAGTATATCATCTGCTTGGTTTACTACCCCATCCAGTCCATCCAAAACTTGGTATATCCTCTTCTGGTAAACCTCTGGGCCAGAATTAATACCGAATGGTAACCTCTTGAAAAAGAATCGCCCAAAAGGAGTTATAAAAGTCGTAAGCTTGTAACTTTCATGATGTAAGGGAACTTGAAGAAATCCATTTGTAGCGTCTAGTAATGAAAATATTTGTCCGCCTTCTAATTTACTTAGACTTTCTTCTACAGTTGGTAGTTGCCACCTTTCTCTCTGAATGCTTTTGTTGAGTTCGGTATAATCAACACATAGCCTCACTCTATCACCTGTCTTACGCGGTACAACAACAATTGGTGCACACCAGTCTGTTGGTTCTACCACTGGCTCAATTATTCCCTCAGAATGCAGTCGATCCAATTCTTCTTTGACTTTGCTCAATAATGGAGCGGACACTCTACGAGGGGCTGCCACAGCAAAGGGACGAGCATTTTGTGTTAGTGCAATTCTGTAGTTTTCCCCTTTCATTCCACCAATAGAACCAAAAACATCAGAAAACTGAGAAAATATTTGGTTAGAGAAAATCGAATCTATGTTGAACTGAATTAGGTTTAATTTCAACATTGCATTTCTACTTAAAAGTGGAGTAGGTTGTTGCTCAATGACGTAAATATCTTCTACAATAGATTTATTTCTAAAAACCAAAGTAGCAACGATCTTACCAACCACTTTCAACCTAGTTTTCCCCGGACCAAATAATATTTTACTTGTTTCACTCGTTTCCAGTTTTAATTCCTTGCAAAGATCATATCCAATTATAGAAACATCTGCTCCAGTGTCTAACTTAAAATAAATATCATGCCCCTTGACATTAAGTTTTACTTTACAAGGATTTTGTCCTCCAACCTCTTCTATGGTCAATTCCCCTAAATAGGTTTTAGGTTTTTCTAATGGTTCATTACTTTTATTAATTTCTCTCACTTCAAATCCTTTGGTACAACATCTCACATAGTGTCCCTTTATTCCACATCTGAAACATGTAGACTGATTGGCAGGACAATCATTGCTATTGTGATGACCAACAAATCCACATTTGTTACATTTACCTTTCTTTGAAAAGCTTTGATCTTGACTTTTATTGCAAGAACTGTCCCTAAACCGATGTTTAGTGGATTGATTAATCCCCTTATTGACAAACTCAATTTCTGGTGATTCCCTCACTACTTTTTGTTGTTGTTTTAAGCTCTCTGCTTGTCTTGCTTTCAAAATTGCTGTACTTAAAGTTAATTTTTCATCCAACTGTAAATTTTGAGAAAGTTTATCATCATTTACCACAATTACTATCAAATCTCTAATTAGTTCATCTTTTAATTCCCCAAGTTTACATCGCTCTGCCAGTTTGTGTAAACTATTTATAAAAGAATCAACAGGTTCCCCCTCAGACTGACGTCTTTTTAGAAATTTAGCTCTCTCATATACAATATTGATTTTGAAACCCAAGTAAGACTCAAATCTACCCTTGACAGTGTCATAACTCTGTAATTCTTCATCTTTTAATCCGAAAGATGTTAGAAGGTCTTCTCCTTCATCTCCTAGACAGTATAAAAGCATATTAACCTGATTTTCCCCACTCTTACTGTCTAATCCTGAAGCTAATCTAAACCTTTCAAATTTTCTTATCCATCTAGGCCATTCAGAAGGTTCCCTGAAATTGAAAGGTTCAGGTGTGACAAGTTGGTATTGAACTGTACTAATTGTACTACTCACTGCTTCAGCCATGCTTAGTTCTTTCTTCTCCACAAAAGTTTATTTAACCTGACACCATGAAGTGAAAGGTAAAACTCACACCACAGTTAAACATAGATACTTTATTAGCCAAGATCCCAAAAGTAAGTCTTCAAGCTCAAAACAACAATACAATAAAAACAAACATCAAATATGCAACATATGATAGCAATTATAAAAATACCAAACAGCACAATCATCAATGGATTTTATCTGTAATAATGCCGTAACCTCTAGGTCTAGCCTGAAGTAAGGTAAAAAACAATTCCGGGCTCGTTCCTAGCGTCCTAGGACAAAAAAAAAAAAAAATATTCAAATTAAAGCAGTGTTGTAAAAACACAACTACTAAGGGGATTTCTGTAAATTTAAAAAAAGCGAACGTGAAGTATATAATAGAAGAAAATATAAGAGGTAGCTAACTCTGGACGGAATAAAAGAAAGTATATTTTAAATTTAATTTGTAGATTGAATTAAACACAAATAAAAGTGTAAACATTGAGTCAGTTAAATTTTTAAAACTGTACCTGTATATCACATAGTTTTAATTTAAAACCTATTAATCCTGATCCAAACATTTTATCAGTTAAAATTTGTAAACAAAAAGCTACCAGCATATCAAAATTATTCCAAAAAATTTATACATTGTAATTGTGTTTCCATGAAAATATGTATATTTACATACAGTAGACTCCCTCTAGTTCGGCCACCTCCAGGACCAGACCATTGGCCGGACTACAAAACGGCCGGACTAACCGGCTGTAGTGCATTTTAAATAATCAAAATACAAAAGTATAATAAAATTTTAAATAGTAAAATAGTATTGCGCAATTTAGATATGTTAAGTCATTAACCTTGGTTCAGTGATAAAAACTGTAATGTTTAAAATCATGCTTACTCAAGCAAAACAAAAATTACACAACACTGTACGTACAGCAATAAATCACGTAAAGAACAGACATCAATATAAAGTCTAGTACTGCAAGCTACTGCTACCGTAGTCAGCATAGGCTACTACTACATATTGTTTCAGAACTTAAGAATGTCGATAAAAACATTAGATAACTCATAAAAGTCTTAAAGATAATAACGACGATAAAGATAACAATGGATGACGAAAAACACCGCTTATTCTTTCTTCTTTGTTCTTCTATTCTTTCTTTGATTTCTCTTTATCCACACATTAAACAAGTTGCCATGGTTACTACCCACCCAATCACAAACTGTTGTGAAATATCAAGTGCACAGCAGACATCAGTTGTGTAAAGAGCAAGAGCAGATGATTGTCAGTGCAAGCGGATAGCTTGACCTTGAAGCTAACGATGGCTATTTCTTTGTTTTGCTTAATTTATTTTTGTCAAATAAACCGTGGTGTTTCAAAAACAATAATGGGGAACCTACCGCATAAAAAATGGTCCGAAATATTTAATTATACACTGCATTTCAACATATTAGACTGAAGAAAAACTATTTATAAAATGTTGTTGGTATTTTTGAGGTTATATAGATTTACTTTACTTTACTTTACTGCCCTAGCCATTTGTACCCCAGTCGGTATTTGGCCTCAGCAACACAGCGCCTCCATCCGTCTCTTTCTTCAGCATCCTCCTCTCCAATTCCCAGCCGCCTCATGTCTTGTTGCACCTGGTTCCACCATTTAGTCTTTGGTCGTCCCCTGGGTCTTCGTCCCTCTAGTGTTCCCCTCAGAATGTTCTTCAGGTTTGACTCTTCTTCTCTTCTTAGTATGTGTCCTGCCCATTTTAGTCTCCTACTTCTTATTTCTCCGATGATGTCTGCATTTTTGTACATTTCTCTTACTTCCTGGTTGTGCCTCTTCCTCCACTCTCCATTTTCTAGCGTTGGGCCAAAAATTTTCCTCAATACTTTATTTTCAAAAACTATTATTTGTCTTTCTTCTTTTTTGTTCAGGATCCAAGTCTCTGAACCATATAAAATTACTGGTCGGATTATTGTTTTATACAGACGTAATTTTGTTGTGTGGGATAATAATTTTGAGCTCATTAATTTATTACAGACATAGAGACTTTTGTTTGCGGCATTTAGTCTATTCTCTACTGCTACATCTTCTCTGCTTTGTTCTGATATTATGGTACCCAGGTATGTAAATGTATCTACTCTTCTAAATCTGTGGCTTCCAACTTCCAGAAAATCATCTTCCCTAAAGTCTTCTTGGGTCCTCCCTACTATCATATAGTTAGTCTTTGAGTCATTTATTTTTAATCCTGTTTTTCCTGTGTTTAAAACTAGTAATTTTGTGAGGTCTATTAAGTCTTGTTTGGTTTTTACCATCAAAACTATATCATCTGCAAAGGCTAAAATGTTTAAGGATTTGCCAATTTTGATTCCAATATTAGAGTTTTTTACTTTTTGCAGGGAGTCTTCCAGGGCTATATTAAATAGAGTGGGGGAAAGTCCATCACCTTGTCAAACTCCTGTTTACAACGTAAACATGTAAAACATAGATTTACATAGGTAATATGCAACAATTCACCCATAGAAGCACCCGTCAACTAAACTGACATGAATTGTTTACTTCTATGGCCGGAAACTAAACATTCAAGTTGAATCCTGTCAAAGGTCATTCGCCCGTGACGATATGACTTGTCCCCCTGAGACCGGGCCGGACCATCCGGCGGCCGATCCAACCGAAGCCGAACTAGAGGGAGTCTACTATAAATATTTTAATCAAACTATTCTCATAATCATAAAACTTTAGAATATTGGGAGCAGAACCTGTACCTCTTAACCTCTGCTGTTTGAACTGTCAAATTATAGTATTTACAGCTGACTTCAATTAATATTTTTTACTATTTACATTCTTCCAAAATGTAAACATTGAAACTTTGGAAGCCCATGGGGCGTAGCCCAAGGGAAATATAATAACAGGAATAGGCCTATATGTTAACCAGGTATATAAGCGAATTTTATTTCAATCGGTTCAGTGGTTCTTGTGTTATAAAGTAACAGACAGACACATACACAAACACATACCATCTCATTTTTATATATAGATATATATATATATATATATGTGTGTGTCCGTTAGAACGATAACTCGAGCAAAAATGATTCGATTTTGATTCAATTTGGGATAAACGTGTAAACCTACATTTATTTGAACGAGTTCACAAACCAGCTTGATCGGACTATGGAAACGGAGGTTTGGGGGGGGCTTAGGGGGGGTTTTCTGGGGTAAAAATGTGTTTTTTCCCATTTTTGACCCTAAAAACATAAAGTGGTACTTACGTATTAAACGGAGGCCACATTTTGTCAGCGCGCTGCGGCGGTTATGTTAGGTTGGGTTATCGTAAATATTATGTGTGTAGGACTTTCCTCGCTTCGTTATGAATCGATACCAGACGAGTTATACTTTCTGTTATGATAACCCAACCTAACATAACCGCCGCAGTGCGCTGACAAAATGTGGCCTCCGTTTAATACGTAAGTACCCATAAAGTTTTGCAATTTCTTAAACATAGTTTGTAGAGCTGTAAAAAACAAATAATTTAGTAAATTGAAGCGTTACTTCTAATTGTTACGGAGAAAATTCAAAAAAATTTTAAATTCCCATGTTATTCTTTAGAAGGATAAGTAAACTGTTGTAGTTTGCTTGTTTATGAACATATTTTGATCAAATTTGGAAGATGCATTTATTTCTTACTAAACTATTAACATAAAAAAATATAAAAAAAACACTTTTTTGCCATCCCTGTTGCACCAAACCTGTTGATAAAGTAATTCTATATAGGGAAGAAATGTGATATTTTCAAGGAGACATTTTAGTGTAAATCCAATCAGGCAAATGGAAATTCGCTTAGTCTGCAGGTTTGCAGCGGCGAGAGTATTTATTTTTAAAGGACCAAGTCAATCAGTAAAAAAATCCTTAGAAGGATTAAAATTAAGATCTTTTGCATGTCTATTAATTTATACCAATAGGATTTACATAGATTATTTATACCTATTGTATGGCAATCTGCATCACATTTTGCACTGCCCTCTATTTGACATTACCTATGCACTGTATTTGTGTTTATTTGATAATAAAGACTGATTCTGATACTGTTAGCATTCCTAAAATATGTCATCTAAGAGTGATACACTTCCTTTAAATTTGTTTGGGTCATAGGATCCACAATCCAAATATTATTGCCCATAATCAACAAGAAAGATATCACAGGATCCTAAAATCTTCATGTACAGATAGATGGTAGTGTACATTGAAAGTCCATATATTATCTTTGAGAGAGAAATGTACAACAAATATTGCAAAATTATATCTTTTGAATTACAAAATAAACACCTAATGTAATTTTCTTGTTTTCCAATTTCATCTGATTGATAGTTGTTGGAATAATGTTTTCATGAAGGGGTTCATATTCTAAATCACAATAGTTTAGCCACCATGTTTGATGTTGATTTTAATATGTCATCAATGTTTTTATAGAAGCTCTCAGAAGGCAGCTGTTTACTTACAGCTACATGTGATACATTCATTAAAACACTAGAGGACTGCATGCGACTGGTCCAATCAGCCTCTAGTCCGCTTGATTCCTCTGACAACATCTCTTACTTCAGTAAACCTAAGGTGGGAGAGTATAATGATTTATTCAATTGTTCAATACCATCTTTTAATAAAACTCTAACCATATTAGTAGATAAAATACTTTTAACAGGCTTTTTAATTGAAATGGCGACCATTCTAATGTAGGTATTAAAGCCAAGTATGAATGGACATGAGTGTTGGTAGAGCGGCACGATATTGTAGTCTTGTTCAATTCAATTTGTTTATTAACGGCAAAAAACATTGTACAATAAATACCATTCATACAAAAATGCAAAGCTATACAATTAGTTAAAGTATGCTCACACAAGAGTCTATAAGCGCTTGAAGCATAATAAATAAGAAGTAATAATAAATAGCACATGCATGGCAAATAACAATTAAAAATATTGTTATGTATATATATATGAAACTAATACCGCCAATCATTTTCTAAATGTTTATTTTTCATACTATTTGTGCCTGTCATTTGTCTTAAGGTTAGTATGTTTATTGCCTTGATTCAACAACATAGGTACCTAATTTCAACATTTAATACTAATATGTTACATAGAATCATAATGTATTATTATAACACTATTTACAATGCCAACCAGCGAACACAAAATAACAATAGAAGGGGCACAGTGAGTGTAAGGTACCACCAATAGTTTCAACCAAGATGTACCTAGTATTAGTGAGCGTTGGCTGTTAGCTCTGCTGACTGTAGATTAGAACTGAATTGTAGTACTGTTGTACTGTAGTGTTATATTCTATACTAGCTGTAACCCGCGGGCTTTGCCCCGTTTAACTTCTTAATTTTCAAGATGATCTCGTTCGCATGGCTCAATCACGTCCTGGTTGAAGTTCGTTCGCTACGCTCACTCACCTTTAGGTTGGAGCTTGTTCACTACTCTCACTCACCTTTAGGTTGGAGCTTGTTCGCTACGCTCACTCGCCTTTAGGTTGGAGCTCGTTCGCTGCGCTCACTTGCCTTCAGGTTAGCTCGTTCGCTACGCTCACTTGCCTTCAGGTTAGTTCGTTCACTACGCTAACTCGCCTCCAGGTTGAAGTTCGTTCGCTATGCTCACTCACCTTTTGGTTGCAAATTAGCTGTTGTCATAAATGTAAAAGAAATAATAGTGCTGCACCCTGTTGGTAATCCTTGTAACTTTAATGCTATTGAACATCATAGAACAGAACCAACTTGTTTAATTGAAACAGCTGTTAAGATTCATTAATTCCATTTCTCATAAGGTTAACATGGGAAACTCCAGAGCCACTGGGGCGGAGCCGATTGGACGGATCACGAAATTGATGGTGTATAAACCTATTCCATGAAATTCTACACGTATGTACCAAGTTTCGTGGCAATCGGTTCAGCGGTGTCTGAGTTTATCACTGCCAAATATATATATACAAACATCCTCTTTTATACTTATAGATTACTAGCAGAGCACCCGTCCTTCGTACGGGGTTGGCATCTATAAGTATAAAAGAGGATGTTTGTATATATATTTGTTTGTTTGGCAGTGATAAACTCAGACACCGCTGAACCGATTGCCACGAAACTTGGTACATACGTGTAGAATGTCATGGAATAGGTTTATACACCATCAATTTCGTGATCTGTCCAATCGGCTCCGCCCCAGTGGCTCTGGAGTTTCCCATGTTAACCTTATGAGAAATGGAATTAATGAATCTTAACAGCTGTTTCAATTAAACAAGTTGGTTCTGTTCTATGATGTTCAATAGCATTAAAGTTACAAGGATTACCAACAGGGTGCAGCACTATTATTTCTTTTACATTTATGACAACAGCTAATTTGCAACCAAAAGGTGAGTGAGCGTAGCGAACGAACTTCAACCTGGAGGCGAGTTAGCGTAGCGAACGAGCTAACCTGAAGGCAAGTGAGCGTAGCGAACGAGCTAACCTGAAGGCAAGTGAGCGCAGCGAACGAGCTCCAACCTAAAGGTGAGTGAGCGTAGCGAACAAGCTCCAACCTAAAGGTGAGTGAGCGTAGCGAACGAACTTCAACCAGGACGTGATTGAGCCATGCGAACGAGATCATCTTGAAAATTAAGAAGTTAAACGGGGCAAAGCCCGCGGGATTATAAATAGTCAAAGGCAAGACAACGTCTGCCGGGTTCAGCTAGTATAAGTATAAAATGCTAATTGCAGTTATACTCAAGCTTTGCGTTTGCAATGGGGAGAGGACACAGTTTGATAAAATTTGGTTCATAAATTTACGGTATGATATAGTATAACACATCTACCATTCCCATAATGTTCTACCATTGCACCTAAACAATAGAAAAAATAAATCATCAAACATTTGCACAATATCACAAATTATTCATTAAATTAAAAACTCAAACTTAGGCTAACTGTAAACAATCCTACTTTGACGGTTCTCATTGTGTATCACAGCTTTTTGTTGCTGCTTACTTAAAATTAGCTGTTGTCATATATGCACAAACAAAATAATAATAGTGCTGCACCCTGTTGGGAAACCTTATAACTTTTTAATGCTATTGCATATTATAGAACCAACTTGTAAAGTTGAAACAGCTGACTAAATTCTTTAATTCCCTTTAAATATGAATACTCATAAGGTTAACATGGGGAACTACAGAGCCACTGGGGCGGAGCCCGAAAGGATTTTTGAGATAAGAATATGCCTAAATGTTAATAGGGAATGTGAGCTTTCATCATGCCAAATTTCAGCCCAATCCGTCCAGTAGTTTATGCGTGATTGAGCAACACACAAACATACACACAAACTCACAAACTTTCAGATTTATAATATTAGTAAGATAAGATATTTATTATTTGTCTTAGCTAGGCTATGTGATTTGTTGCGTTGGTAACACTGTTTGGATATTATAGAGGTGCATCAACCACTTCTGTTTATGCTATTTATGCTATACATGCCCCATTGAATTGTATGAGAAGTTAAAACAAAATGATGGTTCAATAAAGCTAGAGCGAACCAAAGTAGCTCTTGAAGCCTAGTGTTTCTAAAATAGAATCAATCGGGGTAATAAAATTGAATTGTAGGCCTATGTCTAGAAGTAGTTCAGAAGTTGTTGAGTTTGTAGTTACCAAAACTAAAAATGGTGTAGGCATATTAGGCCTTGAGAGTTACACAAGGTTCGACCTCATTCAAAGAATTGACAAAGTGTCAACCAGTAATATTAATAATGTAATAAGCATTGAAAAACAAAAGTTCATTGAGTCAAACATTGATGTGTTTGAAGGAATAGGTAAATTTAAAGACAAATGTCATTTTGACGTTGACCCTAATTGTAAGGTTATGGTGAAGCCGCCTCGTAGAATACCTTTATCAGTACAACCTAAAGTTAAAGACGCTCTTGTTAAGCTTGAAGATCAAGGTATAATCTGTAAAGTAGATAGTCCGTCAAGTAACCTTTTAGTCATTGAAAAACCAAACGGCAGCGTTAGGTTATGTATAGATTAGGGGTCTGCGGTACAGAAAATTTAAGGTCAGTACGGTACAATATTTTGTACCTCGGTTCTCGGTACAAAATCGGTACGGTACGCGGATACCCGTATTTTTGCGGTTTTCTTCTCAGAACTGTATTTAAACCATTATTTTTAACTTTAATACATTGACATTACTATGAAAATGGAAAATCCTACATTCATGGTTTTCTAACAACAATTACTGTACCACACATTAATAAAACAAAACCTTTTACTACTACGAGGATTGTGTCAAGAAAAATCACAGTTAAGATAAAGGCTTTACCTATTTTACTCTGAGATACTTTGAATAGCCATGATAAAGTGGTTTAAAATAGGATAAGAGTTTTTATGAATAAACATGTTTGAAACATTTATTGACAAGATAATTTCACAAAACTGGTAAATTATTTCCAACCAACACAATGTCTAGTTGTTTTTTTAAATTTTTAAAAGCATATAAAATCATTCAGTACGAAGACAGTGTAGTTTTGCCAGCTGTTCACAGCAGACGACAATGAAAAACTGGAGGTTATGATGAAGTTATGGCAAAGAACATCTTTTTTTATCAGCTTTAAAACTAGTTATAAGATGGATACAACTATTGCAAAGTTTTTTTCTGAAACTAAAATTTGGATTATCACAGAGTAAGATTATTGTCTTTTCATTTACAAAGTTAACATCCACAATATCAATCATTAGTTTATCTCAGACTCAATCCAATTTTCTTAGTATATTTTAAAGCAGTGGCGTAACAGAAGGGCCCGCAGGGCCCGCAATGCGGGGAGGCCCGGGAGCTGAGGGGGCCCGCGAACCGGTGAGCGGGAAACGGCGAGCAGAGAGGCCCGTGAGACGAGTGGGTCCGAAAAATTTGGGTTCATTCTTATTCAAATGTATTACCATATTTACCATCCTTATGGAACAGCTGAAGCCAATTTTATTGTTAGTTCTGTCCGGTTTTCTTTAGATGTCGTCTTTTGTTTACAATTTGTTTATATTATTTTAGGGTTAGTTTCTCATTATTTGTCTCTCACTGTTTGGTTATATAGCTAGTGGACGAGTTATTGTTTATTATGATTAGATAGTTTTATTTGGTTAAACGAGGTTTTAAATTAATGAAATAACAAGAAACAAATTGTAAACAAAACACGACACTACAGAAAACCGGACAGAACTAACGATAAAATTGGCTTCAACTATTCCATAAGGATGGGAAATTTACTAAGGGAGTATGTTTTATATATGTTATTACCCATCAATCATTCAATAATTGTATTGAACAAGTAATAACATTAAAGTTATTAATAATATGATGTTATCTTTTAATTTCGTTAGGCCTCTTTAGTGATAACGAACTAAGGTAAAAAATTTAACGTTTTATAACGTGGCTATAAGATTATTATGCAATCTTACTTTTGTCACCGGGAAATATTTTACTTCTCGGTGATTTCGTACACTGCTTATGTCGTCTGCAAACATTTTGAAACATTAATTTCTGGAGCTGGCTGGAGTCATGAACGTTGGATGGGGCTTTTAATATTGTATTATTTTACATTTT